ATTTGGCTACTTTTTGAACTTCTCTATGGTTTACAACCACCTTACCACACGTGACTATTGGATTCGACAAGTCATAATTGTTAGCTAGGGGGAACAACACCTGGGTGAAGTCTTCTCAATTAGTGTTAAATCCATTTACTTTCCAAGCATTTTAGCCATAGATTGTTGTTTTCACCAAAAACCAATCGCTAGATAATGTTACAAACAATCGAAGTAGGGGTACATGAACCTGCCCAGGTTGACATTTAAACATATGTACCCTATATTTAACCCAATTGAGGTTTATGCCTTAATTGTGAGTTTTATTGTGATATTCGGGACGAGTCATCCATCTAGCAATCTCAACAGAACTTCCACTACTACCTCTTGCGCAAGCTTCCTTTACTGAAATGTCCCTAGTCGTTGCTCACCTAGAGAAGCAATACTCAACAGAACTTCCAGTACTACCTCATGCACAACCTTCCTTTACTGAAATATACCTAGTCATTGCTTCCCTGAACAGAAGCTTACTGCAAAGTGGAAACCACACCAGGGAGAAAATCATTAAGCCTCCTTAACATAACTTTATTAATTAGTTTGTTAATACTACCAGCAAGACCAATTGGTCTTCAATCCTTAACATCTTCAACTGCATCCTTCTTGGGCACAAGGCAAATGAATGAGTGCGAAGCAATCTTAGGAAGACCGCGGGTTAAGAGAAGGACCAGCTCTCGTGGATGATAATGGTGGTGATGGCGCGGGGTGTCGACGATGGCACTAGTGTAACTGAGAAGCCAGCGGAGAAGGAAACATCTAAGGTGCAACGGGCTCCTCCGATGTCTGCTCCACATGTGGCCTCAGGACAGCTAAAGGGTGGAGTCCGTCGAGGTACTCAATTCCCGCTCCTCTTTGACTAAATGAATGATGTGCAATGTATTAACAGGGAACGACTTTATCCTTCCTAGCACCGTGAAGCTCAAGTTGTCAACCCCGAAGATTCTGGCTAATCTCGTTATGTTGCATCCCAAATGCAATGTGTCAACTGGATCCCGACCCAGAATCCTGGTGAAAGTGGTAGCAACCACTGAACCAAGATGGAGTGGTACTGAGAGTCACCTCAAGGTATGGAAGGCCACTAAACCCTATTGGTGATCAAGTGCCCAGATTGTAGGCTCGGAATGACTAAGCGGGCTTCAGAACTGGATCGCCTTGGTATGCGATGCGCAAAATTGGTGACCCTGGTGTTCCGGAACCCAAATTGCCTGGTAGGCCTTCTGGTATATAAAGTGTTTAACATACTCATTCTCTGGCATGGTCATCACAGGAGAGTTGAGGACAATAGCGCGAGCAAAGCCATTATAGCTCTTGAAGTGATGTAGCCCCCAAAAGCATGAACTCCACATAGGGGCCGTTGTGCATGCTAGTGGGCACCTTGTGAATGAAGGTTGAGTAGACCTCCACATAAAGCTCCCGATAGATGAGCTCGTTGATGGAAAAGAGGATGTGCCAGTGGGGTGGATGATCACCCTGGACATTTCAGCTCAACAACTGAACATGGTAAACATGTCCAGGTCCAGGAACCAGTGAGGTCCTACTTTGTTGTGTCGCTACTACTCTAAACAACTCTCGTACTTCTCATGGTTCACCAGGTGGTGAATGTAGGGGTGGTTTGGATCAACTATCCTGCAAAAACATCCAAAACCACACACCATACATGGAAACATTCATCAAATAAAGCGCATTGGCGAGAAAAGGAGTTCCCCTACACTTACGATTCCATTATGGCTATATGCCTTCAAAGGCTCTTCACAAGATTAGTTCTCCCACAATTAACCTTAATCACATACAAGACACATCTAGGCATGAATCTAGGAGGCTCATATTTACTTAAGGCTACAATTTCAAACCTAGCTCATTCCCCGATTGTCACAAACCATCATGCATAAAAGTGGACTGAAACATTCAACCACAACTGCATTTGGTGGGCATTTTTCAATTTAAAAAAAAAATCATACCAAATATTGCCCACTCAGGCTCAATTAACTCCACAATCACTTCATGCATCATTCAATCATTATAATTTGACTAACCCCCTGCCCAATTTCATAATTCATTCAAAAATGCACAAAGTCTCCTCACTTAAGAACCCTAATATGATTCTCAAAAATTTACAAAGTAAAAGTTCATTACACGCCTGGAGACACAAGTAGGATCGACAGGGAAGGTGAGGAGATGGCGAGGGAGTCAAAAACAAGCTGAAAAATAGGCTAAAGAGGCTCACTGGAGCTTAATTTGCCAGAAGCTCATTGGAGGCACACCAGAAAATCGCACACCAGAAAAACTTGAGCCAAATCGTGCCAAAACTTCGGCCAAAGGGGCGCCCCGACACGAGGGTTATGTATCTAGTTTTGGTTTTGGAAATGGATGGCTGAAAGTTGACGAACTTGACATAAAACAGTGGGGTGTCATGATTTTTTGAGGAGGCTTTGGAGGATTTCAACGAAGAAAGTTTGTGAAGACTAAGGGGTCACGATCCCCTTTTATAGACCGAAATGGAAGATGACGTGCGGGGGTCAATTATCACGGTTGCAAGACCATGATAATAACCCTTCGTCCATGATCTTGGGTAAAAACGGTGAGTTTTGGGTCCATTATCACGGCTCGTTGGGATTCAAACAGATCCCACTCACCCTGGCCAACTCGCCTAAGATAACGTTCATTGGGATGAAAATCCCTACTTGTACGAATCAACAAAGAGGGCAATTAGAATGAAATCAATTGAAAGAAGTGAGCTGAAGTGGCTGTGGCCGCATCGACGTATAGCTTCAATTCAGAGGTGTGGAAGCGAACTTCCTTTCTCGTACCTCGTCGAGGATCCAAATGGATCCCAACCGGCCCCACCAACACGCCCGCCATTATCTAGGAGATGGAAGCTCCTTCATCTTTCTACGTACCTGCTTCAGATCTGACTCCAAAACTTCAAGCATCGCCTCCAAGACACGATTTTTGGATCCGGCGAGAGATGGATTTTAGGAGTACAGCGCGGAATCAAAGTTAGAAAAAAGGAATTGTTTTCAATTAGAGGAAGAAGACGAGAAAGATTGTGGAGATGATAACACACGGAGGCGGCGACGCCATGGTTAGGGTTGGGAGCATTAGGGGAATTTGCAAAAATGAGAGATTGGCAACACAAGTTTTGAGTTAACCTAGCTCCATTCAAGCATAACGACGTCGTTTACACTTTCCCTAAATCTGACATTCTTATTTTTTATTTTGTTTATAAATAATTAAAAAAATGGCTGATAAGTGATACCCGACCTCAATACTGAAACAGCAATTGGCGATGAAATGTCCCTTCGCAGAAAGTACAAATGTTTTTGCGACGACAATTATCATCGCAGAACAGGTTCGAAATTCCGCGAAGACTATATCCGTCGTGTTATAGCACAGTTTCGTCGCTAAATCAATTTCTCCTCGCATATTTTTGTTTGCACATTTGGTGACGAAAGTTATAAATCCGTCGCTGAAAGTCTACCTTTAGCGACAAATCTTAGTGTCGTCGCAAATTTCCGTCGCAAAAGCTCCTTTTTTTGTAGTCACTAACATATATACTATATATTTCCTATACTGTACAGTTATCATGAATATTGACAACTTAAAACAGTCACAGTTAATATAAATTATCGTGCCGGCACAAATTCGTCATGAATTGCTGTGATACAAATTAGTTATTCATCTTTAAGCGGAAATTATTAATGGTTACTAGGTTAGACAAATGGCCAGTTAACTAAAGAAGCACAACTTACAATTGAGAAATTGAAAATTCTACCAAAAAAAAGAGAAATTGAAAAGTATAAATCGTAGTTATATAAGTGTTCCACCAAAGTTGATATAAACACCATTGGTTTGATTACGTTACCCGCCCAAAGGTTGTTTATATATATTCAAAATAAAAATAAATAAGAAAAGGTGTTAGTTCATAGTTGTTATACGAAAAATATTATTAACAATTTTTTTCAAGAAGTAATAAACTATTTAAAACGTACGGTAAACAACAAATTTTTTGAAACAGGGAAGGATTGAAGCTTATACTGATTTTTTTTTTATAGAAGGTTCTGCCGATATACTATGAAAGTTCCTTAAAAAAGGTATACTTACGAAAGGAAAGTAATTAAATAGTTAATCCCTCATTTTGCTCTTAAATAATTGATCTCTCCATTTTCGTTTGTTTTTTTATTGAGTGTCAAGAATCAAACAAAGAACTAGCCAAGTATGTGGATTTTATCGACTACTGAGGTAAACTCATTATGGTTTCCCCCGAATCCTTTGATTGGCCCTATGTAAAGTGTTTGGTGTATAGGACCAGCCTCCTGGAATGGAAGTGGCTCCGGTACTGTATTAAAGAACACAAATAATTTAAGTTTTCAGTGCAAAATATTTTGAATTTCAACAAAAAAACGAAAGAAATATAGAAGGTTAAATTAAATTAAAAAGCAAATGTTATCCATAATCAGAAATAATTTCCGTTACCAACCAGTACGCTGCGCTCAGGATATAATGGCAAATTCTGTGGTGCCGTAACGGCACCGGTGCCGTCATAGTTTCTAACCGATTTCAATAGTAGTTGTGGTTTGAACTGGTTGAAACCAGCTGGTTGGGTTATGATTTTTGGGTGACGGAGCCAATGTCAAGAGCCAGAAACTCCGATTAAATCCTGCACCCTCAATTCTCCCAAGTTTACAATCGGAATTTCGGCCGCCGCGAACGAAATCGAAATCTTGCACCCTCATTGTGGGAATCGAAATCGAAGTTGGATTCGATGAAATCCTGCACCCTCATTGTGGGAATCGAAATCGAAGTTGGAAGCATGAATTTTGGTGCCGCACGATGAACAAAATATGTTTTATGTTCGTGTGTTCTTACCCGATCCTCCCATGGATTTCAGTAGTTTTTCCCTTAGTTTTTCTTGTTCCCCAGAGGCAATTACGCACAGGGTTAAATAATCGCATAAAAGGAAAGCAATGAAAATTGGAAAGGCATCGTCTCTTCCGTTCCTCTTATCTTCGAGCGGAAGATCCCGCTGCAGCACCGGTGTACATTACCGTAGCTTGGTGATTCTAGTCGACGGCGGCGGGCGTGCTGCGGGAGAGGAACATGCAGAGGGTCTTGCGGCGGCGGAAGTGGATGACCGGGCTGGTGTGGGGCTCTACCTACGTCATTCCCTGTCGACTCTCCGCACTGCGAAGCAAAATGCTTAAATATCCCAGGGTCTTGTTCGTATGAGATGAAAGGGGAAAGAAGAAAGGGAGCTCTCCGCACTGCGAAGCAAAATGCTTAAATATCCCAGGGTCTTGTTCGTATGAGATGAAAGGGGAAAGAAGAAAGGGAGGGGATCAGGGGATTAAGCTTTTCACTTTTGGTTTCAGGGAAGAGAAATCTGATTGCCGAAGATTGATTGAATCAGCCACTTTGTGAAGGATTTAAATACAAAATAGGTTCAACCAAGCATAGTAGGTTCAACCTGCTGTGGTTAAGTGGTGGTTAATAATCAATGGTGCTCATTAAAGACACTAGAATCCAACGGTTGAAAAGCAGGCGGCACTAGTGCCATGCCTGCACAACAGAATTCGCCGGATATAATGAGCTCTTTTTTCTTTTCCCGTTGAAAGGGTTAACTGCATAGTTGGTAACTGAGATTACAAAAAGTTCAAGTTTGCTTATTTGAAATATTTAAATCCAATGGTGCTACTTCAGTTTACTGAAACCGTTCACGTTTGGTCACTCTCTGTCAAACTCTGTTAACTTTTGCTTATGGGGAGGTCAATTCTAAAAGTTTACCATTAAATATGTGATGTGGCAATTTAAATTTAATAAAATTAAATTTTAAAAATAGTCAATCTCATTTCCACCTCATTATCACTAAATAAATAAAAATCCTAATTTCTTCTGATCTCCAACAACCTCTACCTTCAGAACAACGCCTTTTCGGCGAGTTCCCCGCTGGAGTGACTCCCTTAGCTCGGCTGGCGCGGCTCGACCTCTCGTCCAAAAACTTCACCGGCCCGATTCCATTCGCCGTCAACAATAATTAGACTCGACTAACCGGTCTGTTCCTCAAGAACAATGCGTTCTCAGGCCCGCTCCCTTCAATTTCAGCTAATTTGGTCGATTTCAACGACTGCAACAACAACCTCAATGGCTCAATCCCTCCTTGCAACCCTTTTCTTCTCTTCCCCCGGCCCATCCCCTTCCACAATTCAACCGATTCTCCCTTCCCGCAAAAAATCGAAAAAACTCTCCACCGCTGCCATTGTTCTAACCATAAAGCAGCTGCAGCGGAGGATCCAAGACTTCAACGACCATAAAAATCAGCTCACGGGGAAGAAGAAGAATACTACGTTGACCAATATTAACGGCTACTTCTACTACTGCGGTGGAGGTCCGGCGGTGTTTGGGCGGCTTGGACTGAGAAGTTTCAACAATGGATGCGGCAACGACGACGGGGTATTGGTATTGGGGATTAGAAGAAATTAGAATTTTTTTTATTTAGTTTAAATAAAAGTGATAACGAGGAAATGATATGGCAATTTTAAAAAATTTAATTTTAAAAAATTTATTATTTTTAAATTGTCACATCACATTTTTAATGATGAACTTTTAGAGTTGACCGTCACGTAAGCAAAAGTTAACGGAGATGGACGGAGAGTTACCAAACATTAACGGTTTCAGTAAACTGATATACCAACAATAGATTTAAAAATTTCGAGTGACCAAACTTAAATTTTTTTTTTTTAATATCAGTAACCAACCATGCAATTAACTCACTTTTGAAACAATGAACTTTCCCTTGATTAGAAAAAGAAGAAGAAATAATGAACTTTCCTTTAGAATCTGAGGGGAAAGAAACTTGGCGTTTTAGTCGCCGGTCATTGCCGGTTATAGTTGATTGTTTTGGTTAAATGCATGCATCAATTGTTATAAGCCTTCTAGTAGAGTCCTCAAACACGATCTTGGCGTGGTGTTTTAATTAGGCTAACGCTCTCTCTCTCTCTCTCTCTCTCTATAAAATTCCTCAAACTCACTCACTCACTCACTCTCCATCGTTGTAGCTTCTACTTGATTAATTGCATCTTATCTTACTGTTCCCTTACGCTTGCTGTTCCCGCATGGCGGCCGCGGTAGCACTTCTGTGGCTATTCCTGATCCAACAAGGATTAATGTTCAAGTACTGTATGGTTTCCGCCTGCAGCGGCTCGATCGTGAGAACGCAAGGAACCCATTTTGCGAGAAACGGGAGGCCCGTGTACCTTAACGGCTTCAACGCCTACTGGATGCTGATGGCGGCGGCGGACGCGTCCACCGCCAAAAACGTCACCGGAGCTTTCCAGCAGGCTTCTAGCGTCGGGATGAACGTCGCCAGGACGTGGGCTTTTAACGACGGAGCCGGCAGCTATAAGCCTCTCCAAATTTCACCGGGCGTCTATGACGAGAGCGTGTTCAGAGTTCGTAATTAACTTTACTAAATCTTTTTATTATTATTATTTGGTTATTAGATTTTGATTTTTCCGCTATTTTGTGATAATCAGGGATTAGATTTTGTGATATCGGAGGCTGGCCGATACGGGATTTACGTCATACTGGGGCTGGTTAATAACTACAAGGAGCTAGGGGGTTGGCCGCAGTACGTAGAGTGGGCAAAGGAGCGCGGCCAAAATGTTTCTGAGGACGACGATTTCTACACCAATGCCGTCGTCAAAGGATACTACAAGAACCATGTCCAGGCATTCATTCCCTGCACTCTGTCTCTAGCACTTTTTTTTTTTTTCCTTTCAAGAGATGAACTTTAAAAAAAAATTAATATTTTTGTATGGCCTAAACTTTCACCAAAATAAACATCATCGCCAATCCTTTTGATCTATAACATCCTGGCCCGAACTATACACCAAAATAAACAATTTGGCCAAATCTGACTTTTGACCGTTAACTTGGATGGTCAAACGCGTTGACCGTTAGTCAACGCGCCATGTCACTGCCAAGTCAACATAAAATATTTAAAATAATTCACAATTTCCACACATTCCCTAATTTTAAATTATTATAAATTAAAAAAATCATCTAATACCTTAGTTACCAAAAATAAAAAAACGAAAAAAAAATAAATATTTATCATATCTTATGACTTGGCAGTGACGTGCGCGTTGACCGTTAGTCAACGCGTTTGACCGTCCAAGTTAACGGTCAAACATCGGGTTTGGCCAAATTGTTTATTTTGGTGTATAGTTCGGGCCAGGATGTTATAGATCGAAAAGATTGGCCAGGATGTTTATTTTGGCCAAAGTTCAGGTCATACGAAAATACCGTCCAAGTTAACGGTCAAACATCGGGTTTGGCCAAATTGTTTATTTTGGAGTATAGTTCGGGCCAGGATGTTATAGATCGAAAAGATTGGCCAGGATGTTTATTTTGACCAAAGTTCAGGCCATTCGAAAATATTAACCCAAAAAAAAAAATGACAGCTGTGGGATTTGAACCCACGCCCTTTCGGACCAGAGCCTAAATCCAACGCCTTAGGCCACTCGGCCATGTAAAATTTTATCGCATAAAATTACTGGTATTTAATTTAATAGGTCCAAGTTACGCACAATTATGGAGAATTTTGTAATTACTGTATCTTATTCATTTCTGTTTTCTTAAGAGAAAAAATTAATGAGTGGACATATGCATGTTTTTTAATTCCTTTGGCCATTATTTTACATGGAAAGTAGGATTGTCTTACCTTGGACCCAAGTAGAATTGTGTTATCGTGAGATTTTTTACTAGGTGGATTGCGTTTTATGTGTTGAGAGTCAGGAAACGGATACTGAACGATTGAAAAAGGAACAGACAGATTTACGTGGTATCCCTGGTTTCCCAGGACTAATCCACGGAGGAGCTGGAAATCTCCTCGGCTACTGATGGTACTGATGAGAGTTCAGAAAGTTGTGTGTGTTACAGATGCGGCGCCTCCCCTTCAGCTATATACCCTACTTCAGCTGAACTAGGGATCCCATGATAGTCCACGTACTAATGATGCATTAAAACAATGCATGGGCCCTAACTCCAATACACAGCTACATGGGCCAAACGACAACTCTACGTAAACAACTAAACCCAACCCATATACATATATACAAACACAAAACCGCACACCGTTTAACAGCCTCCCCCAAATTGATGCCGGTGAGTTAGCATCAATTTGCTTCCAAGGTACCAGTGTCGGCTAGTAGAGAAAGCCTTAGTGAACAAATCAGCTACTTGATCTTCAGTCTGTAGATACTGTAGACGCACTGTACCATCCTGAACAAGATCACGAACATAATGCACATGTATTTCAATGTGTTTAGTCCGATCGTGAAGTACCGGATTGACTGCGATGCGAATAGCACTAGTGTTGTCAACATGAAGATCCATCGGAACCGAGCAGGAGACTCCAAAATCAGACAAGAGCCGGCGGATCCAGACCATCTCGGAACACACCTCTGACATAGCGCGATATTCAGCTTCAGTGGAAGATTTGGAAACTTTATCCTGTTTCTTACAACGCCAGGAGAGAAAGGCCTCCTCGAATTGAACACACCAGCCCGACGTAGAACGACGAGTGTCAATGCAGCCTGCAAAATCAGAATCGGAGTAGCCATGTAAAGTAGCAGAGCCTGAGGAAGGAAACAAAATACCAACATCCTGAGTCCCTTGTAAGTAGCGGAGGATGCGGTTAACAGCAGCAAGATGATCAACTCGAGGATCCTGCATGAACTGGCTCACCACCTGTACGGCGTAGGATATATCAGGACGAGTGGCTGACAAGTAGATTAAACTCCCAACAATGCTACGATAAATCGAACCATCTTGCAACTTCTCGCCGGATTCACGACTGAGCTTGAGGTTGAGTTCCATAGGTGTTTGGACAGGATGACAATTGTCGAACTTATGGTCACTGAGCAGGTCGAGGATGTACTTACGTTGGCATAGAAGAATACCCTTATGTGTGCGCAAGACCTCTAGTCCAAGGAAGTATGACAAGTCCCCAAGGTCTTTAATGCTGAACACGGATTTGAGTCCGTCTTTGAGATCCTGGATGCCTGATAAGTCTGACCCGGTAATGATCATGTCATCGACATAGAGAAGAAGAGCAACAATTCCCTTAGAAGTGACTTTGGTGAATAGGGACGGATCATTCAGGCTTTGGCGATAGCCAAGATGAAATAGAGTGGACTGGAACTTCTCGAACCAAGCGCGAGGAGCTTGTTTAAGTCCGTAGAGAGAGCGATGCAGATGACATACCTGTCCCTCATGACCAACTGTGTATCCCGGTGGACGTTCCATGTAGATTACCTCGTCCAGATCACCGTGCAGGAAGGCGTTCTTCACATCCAGTTGATATAACGGCCAGTTCTGAAGGGCAGCAACAGCAAGGAGAGTCCGGACAGTTGCCATTTTGGCAACAGGCGCAAAGGTTTCAGTGTAGTCAATACCGAACTCTTGTGTATAGCCGAGAGCAACCAAGCGGGCCTTGTGACGTTCGATCGCTCCCTCCGGAGTCATCTTGATAGTATATACCCACCGACAGCCAACAACGGGAATGGAGGGATGAGGGCGATCAACGACTGTCCAAGTTTTGTTAGCTTCGAGAGCTTCAAATTCCTCACGCATTGCATTATCCCAAACTGGATTTCCACATGCTTGCTTGTAGCGAGTTGGAACAAAGAGAGGCGAAACACCATGGGCCACGAAATCCTGGAAATGTGGAGGAGGGACCCCTCGGTTGGAGCGGAGCGAGCGCCGTAGTTGAGGAGAGACGGGAGCATGTGGAGATGACAAAATGGATGTAGCACTCGATGGAGAAGTAGATGATGTTGAGGAAGAAGCACCTGAGGACGTCACGGAGTGTGGAGATGATGTAGGAGAGTGAGCGGCAACATTGGATGATGATGACATGGTGGTATCAACTGTGGAAGATGATGCAGCACTTGTGGTGGTGTCGACGGTAGGAGACAGATCCGAGGAAGAGGGCGGTGGTCCAGGATCATAGGGAGGTACTTCATCATCATCACCAAACATGGGAAGAGTTGAGCTAGTCGAGGGAAAAGAACAAGTTGACGTGGAAGAGGTGGACTCAAAAAACATGACTTGTTCACAAAAGATGACCGAACAAGCTACACGAACACGTTGGACAACGGGATCATAACAAAGATAACCTTTGTGGACATCACTATATCCTAGGAAGGCACACCAGGCAGTTTTAGAAGTTAACTTGGTCCGCTCTCTCCTAGGAAGAAGAACAAAACACTGACAGCCAAAAACACGTAGACGAGAATAATCAGGATGGCGCCCATAAAGAACAAAGAAAGGACTCTTCTGTTGAAGGACAGGAGTGATCTGATAATTAATCAGTCGAACTGCAGTAGCTACAGCTTCTGGCCAAAAACGAGCCGGGACACGAGATGCTAATAGAAGAGCCCGAGTAAGCTCAACAACATGGCGATTTTTTCGTTCTACCAAACCATTTTGTTGAGATACCGCGGGACATGACATTTGACTAAGAATGCCACGAGACTTATACACTTCATGAAGAGGATGAGAACTAAATTCTCCACCAGGATCCGATCGAATAATTTTAACAGTACGACCAAATTGGGTTTGTATCATATTAAGAAATTCTAGAGCAACAGACCGAAGTTCAAATTTTAGACGGAGAAAGTAGATCCAAGTGAATCGAGTGGCATGGTCAATGAACAAGGCAAAATATCGGTATCCACGACGAGAAACATCAGGGGAAGGTCCCCAAAGGTCTGTGTGGATTAAATCGAAAGGTTCATGAATAACAGTTGTACTAGATGGGAAAGAAATACTGGTAGTTTTAGCTTCCACACAGCTAGGACAAAAATGTTTAACAGGAGGTTCAAATTTGTGTTTGCCAAGTAACGAAAGATCAAACATCAAAGAAAGACGTCCTGAGTGGGGATGCCCCAAACGAGCATGCCACAGGTCCCATGTATTATTCAAAAGACTCGAGAAAACTGGACTACTGACAGACCTAGACTCGGATTGACACGTAGAGGAGGTGATTGGATGATCATGAAGTTCCTCGAGATGAAATGTCCTCCCCTGTTTAATCCCCCTTCCGATCTGCCTCCCCGTCTTCAAATCCTGCACAACACAACCGTTCGGAGAAAAAACAACAGAGCTTTCAACTGATTCCCATTAGCCACTGTTAAGCCGAAATTATTTACAGGTTGGATTCCTTTCAAAGCACTCGCGTCATGGGTCATATGATTAAAGCACGCAGAGTCGATTAACCAAGGTTTAGGAATCGATTTACCTGAGCTCTGGAATGTAGCAAATGCGGCACTAATGGCACCTGGGAGAGTCTTTTGAAGGGCTGCTTGTACAAGGTCTTCGACTGAAGGAGCTACAGCGGCAACATTTCCAGTGCCATGCATAATGTCTTCGGCAGAGACGGTCACAGCATGCGCAGCCCTGGGCTGATAATTAGAGGGACCAGCTCTCGGCGGATATGCTCTCGGTGGATAGGGAACTGGTTCGGCTCCCGCAAACCTTGCGGCATTCCTTTCTTTGGTTCGGCAGTCTAGGATAATATGGCCACTTCGTTTGCAGTAGACGCAGAAATTTCTACGCCGACAATGTTTTAGCAAGTGACCCTTTTCGTGGCAATGATGACATACAAGCTCCGAAACAGGAATTCGAGACTGATATTGGGGACGTGAAGCAGCGTAGGCCTGTGCGGACTGTCGATTTCCAGATGGCAGTGGACTAGCACTTGTTGCGGCAAAGACTGCCTCCCCTTCTCCTGGGCGCATATCCAGCTGTGCTTGGGTACGGAGCCGAGTCTCTTCTCGCACAAGCAACCCCAATACCCCTTCGAACCTCAACATCTCCTTGTTCAAGAGGGTGGATCGAATATTTTCAAACTCCGGACGGAGTCTCATTAGAAACTGAAGCAACCGATGTTGTTGCCTTTCCTCGAGCATCTCAACAGTTGCCGCCGTGGGACGAAGAGCAGCACTCAATAGATCGTGTTCAGTCCAAAGTTCTTGTGCGGCATTAAAATATTCAGTAACAGAACGATCACGTTGTTCAAGACGGGCTAGAGCAGTTTGTACCTCGAATAGACGTGCAGAATTAGTGGTAGAATAAGTTGAGGCCAAGTGACGCCACATCCGATTAGCTGTAGGAAAGAGACGTAAACTGAGGCAGGTGGATGAATCCACAGAATTGAGTAGCATGGATCGCACTTTAGGATCATTTTGCTTCCATGTAGCGACCTCAAGTGCTGATGCAGGCGGCGATGTTGGACGCGGGATCTGACCGTCGAGGATTCCAAGCAAACCCTTCCCTTCTACAAATACCCGGAACTGGAATTCCCATAACGCAAAATTTGTCGAAGTGAGACGAACAGCAAATCTTTCAGATTCAGCCATAGAAAGCTCTGATACCATGTTGAGAGTCAGGAAACGGATACTGAACGATTGAAAAAGGAATAGACAGATTTACGTGGTATCCCTGGTTTCCCAGGACTAATCCACGGAGGAGCTGGAAATCTCCTCGGCTACTGATGGTACTGATGAGAGTTCAGAAAGTTGTGTGTGTTACAGATGCGGCGCCTCCCCTTCAGCTATATACCCTACTTCAGCTGAACTAGGGATCCCATGATAGTCCACGTACTAATGATGCATTAAAACAATGCATGGGCCCTAACTCCAATACACAGCTACATGGGCCAAACGACAACTCTACGTAAACAACTTAACCCAACCCATATACATATATACAAACACAAAACCGCACACCGTTTAACAATATGAGTTGTGGGACTATGTCAGTAGGGATGCGTTAAAACAAATGAGATATTAATTATACTTGAAAGGAAATTCAATTTTATTATTGTGTTAAAAGCTTAATTAATGGTATATGGCTGGCTGATTATATATGGGTGCAGGTTGTGGTGAGGAGAGTGAACACAATAACCGGGGTGGCATACAAAGATGACCCCACCATTTTTGCATGGGAGCTCATGAACGAACCTCGTTCAAATGACTACTCCGGTGCTCTTCTTCAGGTGACCGATTTTACCTAGGATAGCATATATGCATGCAGCTTCCCGGCCAGGCCACTCCCATGTTCTGTTCTGTTCTGTTTGTGTTTTTATGATTAATATATATATATATATATATATATTATATATTCTATAGCTAGCGCCTAGCGGGTACAACTTAATTAATTAATTAATTAATTACATCATCACTGCCGTACGTATACGTGCAGAACTGGGTGAGTGAAATGGCGGCTTATCTTAAATCCATCGATGGCTGCCACATGCTGGAAGTAGGATTGGAAGGCTTCTACGGAGAATCCAAAAAGGATCTGAATCCTAATGGCCTCCTCTTCGGGACCGATTTCCTGACCAACAATCAAGTTCCACAGATAGATTTTGCCACCACTCATCTCTATGCTGATCAATGGTAATCGATCACTAGATATTACTCGATCGATCCATCCATCCATCCTCAATTAACGCTTGTCTGGTCTCTGACTCTCTAGGTTGCACAACTCAACACAGGAGGAAATCGAAGCTTACGTAGACAAGTTCCTGGGCTCCCACATCCTGGACTCCAACACGCTGCTAAGGAAGCCATTGGTGATGGCAGAGTTTGGCAAGTCCTCAAAGCTTCCAGGCTACAGCTTGGCCTCGAGGGATGGCTACTTCAAAAAGATTTACGATTCCATTTACACTAGTTCCCAAAATGGAGGTCCATTTTGTGGTGGGATATTTTGGCAGCTTATGGAGCCTGGAATGGATAACTGGGGAGATGGGTATCAACTAGTCCTTCAATACACCCCTTCAACCGCTGCTCTCATTTCTCTGCAATCTCACAGGCTGTCTACTCTCTCTGCAACCCAAAAGGAATAACTAGACTGATACCTAACTTAATCCAAAAAGACAACCACACAAACAGGGATATTAAAGGGTTTGCTTATATTCTGCTTCTATCTTCCTGTGTGAAAACAATTCTACACAAGACTTCATCTTGTGGGCTAAGAAATCACAAACTTATGGTTGTTTTAATTATATTTGTTCCTTTTATAATTTCTCAACAAACTTCACTAATTAGCATGCAGCTGCTTGCTTCACCAAAGCCATAACCCAAAACTCCTTTAATGGTCATGCAAGATAAGATGAACGTCTCCAATTCCATGCATCATAACGAGTCTGTCTATCCAATTTAAATGCTCCCAATTAATTCTTATATCTTCGAATCCGAATCTTCAATTTTGGACTTCGAGAGTTATATAACATGTCAATCGATTTGGCATCTACAAACTCGTAAGCCTTGCTTGTAGATCCCCTTTCTCTCACCTTGAATGCTGCCAAGCTCTCTTTAAACCTCTTAAATCGCCTCATGACCCGTGGTCCATGTGGAGATCGAATTTGAGCTTGAGTAACGTCATGTGGGGTGAGCGGGGTTGCATCCTTCCCTCCCTCTTGAAGAAAATTTGACCTCAAATCTTGTTGTTGCACGTAGACTCTCTTGTACGACTTCATTATTTCCCAACTTAAATATGCACCTTGAATGCTAAGCTTATCCACGAACTTTTGCACTCTTCGTCTCTCTCTAAGATGAATATCCTTGTATGGCACTTCATTTCCAATAATAAACTCTATATGCTCAACACTTGCACCATAATCTCCCATTTGAATTGACTTGCATTGAGAAGAGTTGGACCATGCTTAGAATCAGAATTTGATGTTGTGGTTGTACTTGGTGTATTGAAGATGCCTATTGACAAATTTTGATGTTGTAGGATGACATCTCCAATAACCCTATCTACTCCAATAGATGATGACTCTTCTGGAACTTCTCTTTCTTGAACTTGTAGATCATTCTCCTTTGTCTCCATATCTTCATTGTCATAGACATCCTTGGGTAGAATTCCATCTTCAATGGTCAACTCAACATTAGTTGTAGCTTCTTTAATAATTGACCGTTTTGGACCCTCCTTTAAATTTATCTCATCATGATCAAAGTTCATTACCATGTTGGTGATAGGCAACACCTTCTTTTCATCTTCTATTTTAAGTTCTTGTTCTTCTTGAGAAGGCATCAAAGCTTGTGCAATTGCTCCACAAGTAGCTATAACAAGTCCGTCCACAAGAACATCTTCTTTCGCATTTTCTTCGACTTCCTCTTCTACTTGGGAAGTACTCAGATTTGTGGTAGCATTTTCCTTCTCATCATTGACATTAGCTTCTACTACTACTTCCTCACAGCGAATTGAGCTTGAAGAATCATGACTTAAATCAATATCAACGGATCTTGCACAGGCAGCCTATTGCTCTTTCTTAATCCTTTTGTCAGCTTCCATTAGCTCCCTTTGAACAAGCTTCTTCTCATTGTCACTTTGCACATTCTGGACATTTTCGTTCTCCAAGGGCACCATACGTCTTTTCTTGGGACATTCACTCGCCATGTGACCTTTTTCTTGACACTTGTAGCACATAACATCACTAGAATGAAAGTCAGATCAAGACTTGTCATTGCACATTACCCTTGAAGATATAAGTGATGGATTTGATTTGAGGATGGGCTTGGGATCTTCATGTCGTGGATATGAAGCCTTTGCTGTATTTGACAAACTCAGATTGGTTGAAGAAGCAATATGTTGTATATAACCTCTCTTTTGCTGCTTCTCCACTTGAATTTCCATTTGTACCAACTCATTCAAATCAATAAAAGCCTGAATCTCAAACACATGCCTTATCCCATGATTAAGACCATTAAGAAATCGAGATATAGTTGCCTCCTCATCTTCATTAAAATAAACTCGAGCCATTAGGCGCTTCATCTTCTTATAATAATCATACACGCTATTAGAACATTGTCGAAGAACATCAAGTGCTCTATGCATCTAATGTTGTAGGGTCATAACTCCTTCTCATCCGTTGCTTCATCTCCTTCCATGTCTTTGCTGGAAGTTCCTCTCTAAAAAGTCGACTCTTAGAGCCTTCTTGAGTCCACCAATCAAGAGCATGATGAATGAATGTACTAGCAACAAAGATAACCTTCTCTTCCTCGCAACACTCATAACAATCAAATATGATCTCCATCTTCTCTTCCCAATCTAAGTATGCATCTGGATTACTTCGGCCTTGAAAAGTAGGGATCTCTATGTCATCCATAAGTTGCACATGTTCTTCATATTCCTCTTCGTAGATATCTCGATGTCTATAGTGATTGGTACTCATAGAGGGAACACAATGCCATGCTTCAAATTCCTCCATTCTTGATCTTCAAGAAACTTCTTTTATCGCTGAGTTTGAACCACCAATTTTAAAAATCACCACTGAGTTTGAACCGGGCTCTTGATACCACTTGATATGATCTAAATCCGAAAGGAACCCTCGAACTCTGATTATATGACCAAAGTACGCAGCTTCAACGATCATTTCTTGATTTTCTTGATTTTCTCGACTTTCTTGATTTTCTTGATGTCGTCTTTCTTGAACTCGAAAATAAAGATAGATGCGAATCAATCGGACAATTCCTAACTCGTGATGAAGGAAAATTGGTATATTAACCCAATCGGACAACACCAACTCGTGGAAAGGGACAATTGATATAGGGTAGAAGCTTGCCACAACTAGACGCCTTCTCTAGCTGATAAGAGACACGTACAATCTCCTGGAATCCTCAACAGAAGTCTTGCACAAACGTTCACAAAGGAACACGAGTAAAAACACTTTAATTGATAACTTGAATGTTGGGTGCAAAATTCGTAGGTCTTACACCCTCTATCTATAGAAGTCACAAAAACATAAATCTAACCTAAAAGGAATAGGAAAACAAATCCCAAACTAATTAGGAAACATAATACTAATTAAATAAGGACTAAAAATACAAACTAAGCTTCTAAATAACCAAAATAAATAATAAACAGAAACTCCAAATAATAACACTGATGCATGTGTTGATCTTCCTTCTCCCTCACGGAATTGAATTCCGTCCTTCCATTTTCGTAACGGTTGCGGATCTTCTTCTTTTCTTCGGTCTTCAATTACAAGCTAGCTTTCCTGGAGACTTTCTTTTACCAACCCAAATTAATATGATTAATTCATCCAAAAAAACCCACCATCATCCACGTGCAAGCTAGCTTTTCCACCAACCAACTAATTAATCATGTTGCCAGCTCACACCAACTTCACTTTAATCCATCCAAACCTTCATGTTTAACTAATTAGCATGCAGCTGCTTGCTTCACCAGAGCAATAACCCAAAACTCCTTTAATGGTCATGCAAGATAAGATGAACGTCTCCAATTCCATGCATCATAACAAGTCCTTCTGTCCATTTTAAATGCTCCCAATTGATTCTTACATCGTCGAATATGAATCTTCAGTTTTGGACATCGAGTAACATGCCAATCGATTTGACATCAACAAACTCGTAAGCCTTGCTTGTAGAGCTTCTTTCTCTCACCTTGAATGATGCCAATCTCTCTTTAAACCTCTTAAATCGCCTCTTGACCCGTGGTCCATGTGGAGATCGAATTTGAGCTTGAGTAACATCATGTGGGGTGAGCGGGGTTGCCTCAATCTATAACGGCCTCATTCCAAAAATCTGCATCTATGAAAGTTAATGCTTCCTGCAAACTTTTTGGATCTTCAAGGGTGTATACTGTAGTAAAGTCATCACCAAAATCTTTGGAGATTCTAGCTCTTTCACCTCTTCTGAGTTCATCCTCAGATCCAACACCCCCACTAGTTTCGTTATCTCTAATAGCGGTTAGTACATCACCCCCACTATTTCTCATTTTAAATGGAAATCGTGTATCAAAGAAATCAGCATCAATGGACTCTATTATAGTACGAGCATTCAAATCATAGAATCTATATGCCTTACTATTGGCTGCATAGCCAACAAAGACACATTCATATGCTCGACTAGCCAACTTAATCCTCTTAGGATCCGGAATTCTTACTTAGGCCAAGCAGCCCCACGTTCTTAAATAGGACATATTAGGTGGCTTATTCTTCAAGATCTCATATGGTGATTCTTTTCTATTTGTTTTTGGTAGTCGATTTAGCACATAGCAAACCGTTAACAAAATATCACCCCACCAAGAAGAAGGAGCTCCAGAATTGAGCATAATAGCCACAACTAATTCTGTAAACGTCATATTTTTCCGCTCTCCTTTACCATGAATTTCTGGTGAATATGGTGTCGTGGTTTCATGAATGATACCATGTGAGCTATAGAATTCCATGAAGGGATTAGAGTCATACTCTAATCCTTTATCACTCCTAAGTCTCTTTATCTTTCGATTGCACTGATTTTCAAATTCAACCACAAATACCTTGAACATGTCAAGGGCCTCACTTTTGTTTTTCATCAAATAAACAAAGCAGTAATCAGAGCAATCATCTATGAAAGTGATAAAGTATCTCTTGCCAGACCTAGTTAACGTCCCATCTAGTTCACAAATATCATAATGAATCATATCTAAGAATCTTGATTCTCTACTCACAGATTTATTGGGCATTTTCGTTATTTTAGCTTGGCTACAGAAATCACATTTATCAAATTCATTCATGGAGAGTTTAGGGATATGTCCTAGCTTGCTTAAATTCTTCACAATTCGTGTGTTCACGTGACAAATACGAGCATGCCAAACATTCAAATCACACACCAAGTAAACTGAAGAATTCATCTTATTAATTTCGAAATTCAACTTGAACATCCCATACATGCATATTCATTTCCCACAAAACTCCAATTCTTAGTAAGGGTATACAAGTTTGCCCCAATAGATTGGTTAAACCTAGCCTTATTAAGAAGATATCCCGAAACAAGATTCTTCCTTATCTCTGGAGTGTGCAAGACATCTTTGACCACCATCTTCTTCCCAGAAGTG